ACAAAGTTGACCAAATTGACAAAAGGGGCGCCGGTGACGCCCCATCTCCACTTGTACTTTTATATTCACAATTAGGGAATCAGCCAGGGACGCAACAACGATATACGTACGTACGTACCTTCTTTTAGCTGTAGATCATTCTTTTAGAATAGCGATGGTAATCCAATAATATATACGTACTAAGGCTGCGCCTATTATCTACTCACAATTGCCCCCTGGATGATTCTACGTGATAAGTTAATTTTTCGTTTAACGTTACGTTAATCTCCTGAGCTCACCTCAAATTAAACAAATAGAAGTAACAAATTGATTATAATGATCAGGAGTTTGCGTCTTATATTCAGGATTTTACGGTACACTAGATTATTTTTTATATTTATTTAATTCTTCCCTCCTGTATAAATACGAAAAAATAATCTTAAACGAAATTTCAACTTAAATGCCTTAATAAGAAATGCATGTAAAACATCAAGTGCACATTCTTTCTTATATATGCTCATTAGGGATGGGTCACTACGCAAACTGTGCAGATTTTTTTGAGAAATGTGTGGTGTAATTTTTATAATCAACTTGTATAATTGCTGGCTTGAATGTCAATGTAATATATATTCTTATAGTTAGCAAAATCTTATGTTTTAGATAAGATAATAAACCAGCAAATATAATTGAGAAATATAGTTGAGTTTGTTTTGTGAGTAGTTTGCACAGTAGATTCGATCTACCCATTCCTATTGCTCATAAAAAGACATGATTATTCTTTCCTTTAATCCAAGATATTTAATATATTTATTACATTTAATATATCAAAACATAAGTAGATTTCATGATAAAAGATAAAAATATCAAAAACGCAAAATACTACTAAGTAGATTTAAAGACATTTAAAAAAAAAAAAAGAAAAAAAAGAAGAAAAAAAAAGAAAAAAGAGAAAATATCGATAACTAAGGCGTTGGAGTTAGGAATGATGCAGCACAAGCTGCCATACATGCTCCTTGCGCAATATTGCATAGAATTGCTGCCGCTGGGGCACCGAGTCCACCTGTTACAGTTCCTTCACAAGCGTATAAAAAGTATTACTTTCGTATTGCTATATTAAAACGAAAATATTATTGCTAAAATAGCTTACCTGCAACTAATCCTGCACCGGCATAACATGAGACCCAGCCGGCATTACATGCCGACTGACATAAAATGTATGTTATAGGACCTGCTTCAGTTGTAGACAATAGTAATAGGCTCAAAAGAATGGCGATGAATAATTGTTTGGTCATTTTCGTTCGTTATAAAGATTGTTATGTTATAAAGATTGTTGATACTGTTATCATAAAAAAGAACAATTAGAAATATTTCAGATATTAAATTAATCAAGTACAATAAATTATAAAATTACTTCGATTTTCAAAGAAAGTTAAAATTTCTTTGGTGTTATTTGTTAAGAAATTTCGTTGAATATATGAAAATTGGTGAAAATTTTCTTTGGTGTTATTGTTAAGAAATTTCGTCGAATATATGAAAGTTGTTGAAAAATGCTGTAGCAAACTGTTATTTATATACATTTTTTGTAATATGCGCAGTGCTAATAGCTAAGGAAATGAATATCCGATACTGCTTACATATGTACGTAGTACGTATACTAATTTGGGAACAATGACTTGAGGGAGGTCAAATTCAAAAAAAAAGCTTCATAAATTTTAGTTTGGACTTTTATTTGAAGTTATAGAAAATTTTACAGATTTAAATTTATTATTACGTAAAATTTTATTCAACCATTTTTAATTAGTATTAAAAGACAATTTAACTATTTTTTTTTTCATGTATTTTTTTTTTTTTTTTACTTTACGCACGTTCTCCGATCTACTTTTTTTGAAGATCCCTTACACAAATAATGCATGTACGCACGTATATCATTACGTATATCACACTACTAGTTGACTTTATTAGAAACAATGACATTCTATCGCTTGTTCCCTATCATAAATATTACGACTCCGAATAATAAAAATAGTAACAACTTTCTTTATTGAAGTATTTTAAATTAAATGAATGGACATATTTGCAATGACATGTTTATTGAACGTAACCTGTGAACTAAACCTTTTACTTTTCGAGGAGTTCTGTTTTCAAAAATTAAGTTTCAGAATCCTTCAGAAGTATATTTTTACATAGATCTATGTAATACTTGCTGATGTAACATTTGGGTTAGTATTTTCCGAAATTATTTTGGATAAGCTTCTTTTCGGATCAAGAATCCCATTTTACGTGTATTAATAAGCAGAATTGTTAGTTGAAACCTATAGGGACGTTATCTGGTACGTTATCTGGAACATTATTTGGTACGCTATTTATTCACTAACGAAA